GGGACCGTGGTGGAGTGGGGGGAGTGCTGTGTTGGGGTGGGGGCATGGCATCATCCAGTGAGGGCTGGATGGAGGGACACAGCATTGTTTTGGGGGGGTTGGATGGAGGGGGCACAGAGCATCATCCCCAAGGGGCTGGATGTTTTTGGTGTGTGTGGGGTGCAGATCCTGCCCCCAGCACTCCCCATGGTCTGGGTGGGTAAGGGCTGATGTGGGCACCCTAACCCCAGCATCAGGCTTTTCCTGGGGGGCAGCTGGAACCTCACAGCCCACCACTCCCCAGTATTGTGGGTGGTGGGTGGGGAGATGCAGTCCCAGCCTGGATGAGATTTTGAGGCACTTCTCTTGGGTTCTGTGAGCTTGAATCAAGCTGTTGGTGAGCAACCAGAATGCTGCACCCACAAATATTTGCATGCACTGGTGGGTGCTTCCACTGCCCACTGAAGGATGCTCTTCCTCACCCCCCCAACCACAGAGATGTCAGCAGCCGGCAGCAAATACATTGACACCGAGGTGGAAAATGCCATCAACGGGGTGAAGCAGATGAAGACCCTCATGGACAAGACAAGTAAGGACCACCAAGCCATCCTGCACACCTTAGAGGAGACCAAGAGGAAGAAGGAGGTGAGTGAGGATGAATAGGGCGGCTGTTCCAACCTGGTACCTGAGCTCCCCCTAGCTGGGCTGGGTGCACCCGAAGGGCTCGGGAGATGCATTGTCGGGGAATCTGTGTGTCCCGGGAGCGGAGAGATGCCCTGGGGTGGATGTGGGTGCCTTGCAGGAGGCGGTGCAGCGGGCCCGGGAGAAGGAGCAGCAGCTGACAGCAAAGCAGGAGGTGTGCAACGAGACGATGCTGGCGCTGTGGGAAGAGTGCAAGCCCTGCCTCAAGCACACCTGCATGCGATTCTACTCCCGCACGTGCCGCAGTGGATCGGGGCTGGTGGGGCGGCAGGTGAGTGGTACCACAGTGCCTGGTAAGGCTGGAGGGGGTTTGGGTTGAAGGGACCTTAAAGCTCATCCAGTTCCAACCGCCTGTGATGGGCAGGGACACCTTCCATTGGACCAGGTTGCTCCAAGCCCCTGAGG